AAATATTATTATTTGTATAATATTATTATTTATTATAAAAAATTATTATTTGTACAATAATTAACTACACATATTGATAGATATTTTATGTTTTAAATTATAGTTATATTAATTTAAAATAAGTTCATTTCACTGGAAAAAAAAGAATAATCACAAATTTTCCAATCAATAATGTTTTAAACTACTAAAATGATATATTATTACATTATCATTTAATTATGGAATAATAATTTTGTTAATTTTTTTGTAATTATTTATATTTATAGTATATATTTCAATTTTAGGAATAATTTTGTATCAAAAATGTGTTTTTGTCCTCTCATCTTGGAAAATATAGGTTTTTGCCACTTTTTGCCAATTTGGCTGGCAAAAACCTGTTTTTGCCAGGACGGTTTTTACCGGTATTTACCATGGTTTTTTCCACCTGTGGCAAAATCTTGCCAACCCTGACTTGAGTTGGTCCACTTCTGTGACTTTTTTTTTCTCTTTTAATTTCTCGCAGACAGCTGTCTGAAAGTTGCAAGACTTGCCGATCATTCTGCTGCAGATCACAATACGGAAATCTTCCCAAATATTCTACTTAAAATTTTGAAAAAAAGAAAGAAATTAAAATTTTTTTTGTGTGCAATTTTACATCTTTCATTTGAATTTAATTCCAAAATTAGAGCACTCTAACAATTGTTAAAGTAAAACTCAATGGGGTATTGTAATTATTTTTAAGCATGGAGGGAGTTAGGGGAGATTTCCGTAACGTGATCCGCGGCAGAATAATCGCCAAGTCTTAGAAACTTCCAGGCAGTGGCCCGCGAGAAACTAAAAAAAAAAACATTACAGAAAGGGACTAACTCAAAAGGTATAACTCGTAGTCACCCTCGGGCAAACATCTACACATCTATTTTAAAAAATTTGCACATTTAAAATCTATTTGGCACCTTGGCTATTGTAGTTGGCGCAACAGATCACAATACGGAAATATCCCGGGAGTTTCAGATTTTCTTCATCTTGGCTGACAATAAAGGAGTCTAAAATTTCCATAAGAACCCTTATGTGCGAGGCGATGGCTCAGAGGATAGAGCATTCGCCATCCAATGAGGAGAACCGCATTCGAATCCCAGGAGATATGAATTCCGCATCTGGCTTGCACCAACCACAGTGCTGACGTGAAATATCCTCAGTGGTAGATGGATCATGGTTTAGAGTCCCCTTACCGTCAGTCTAACCGCGGGAGGTTCTCGTGGTCTTCCACTCCACGTAACGCAAATGCAGGTTAGTTCCATCAAAAAGTACTCCACAAAGGCAAATTTCTCCCAATACTCGATCCAAGAGTTCCCTTGTCTTCTGAATTGGGTTCAAAATTACAAGGCTACGAAGTTGAACATTAGTAGTCGTAAACCCATAAAATTGGGTCGGCTGTTCTACGACGGTAATAAAATAAAAATAAAATAAACTATGCTTATGTAATATTTAAAATTAAGATAATTTGTTTAAAGCTGTATAATATAGGTCGCTAAATGGCAACATGAAAGAATGAGCACAGCATATCTTACCTCCTCTTTCAACATTAGGATAGCAAGCATAATTTACTTCATTCGGTTCGGAGGCAACACTTGGCTTTAAATTTAAAGCTAGATCGGCAGACTTCAGAAATCTTTCAACATTTTCTTTTTCAAAAGAAGACTTCTCAAGTAGCAAAACAGCTTTATCACTAACAGGATCGAATGAGCCCTCTACAAATATAGATTTAGATTCTTTGTTGTCGAATAAAACTTCACGCATTTTAAAGTCACTGAAAGAGTTTATTCTAGTGTGTGCGCTCAAGTCTTCAGCAACAGCGTCAGGTGATTGAAGCTCCTCTTCAGTGGATAATTTGATCCGTTTACGACTAACATCATCTGATGAATCTACGTCAGACATGTTATTATTTTATAAATACAATTAAATCTTCACAATAATAAAATCAAAAATAATTTCACTTGTTGAAAAAGTAGCGTACATCGATACACAAAACGCTCAACAATCGCGGGACGGTAATGTTAAATAAAACTTACTAAAGCTCTTGTTTATACGCTTTAATTACACTTGATAAAGAAATTATTTTTTTAATCCATAAATACATTTGTTGAAATATGTGTGGTTTTCACTTGATAAAAAATATTAGTTTAATGTTGAAAATTATTTAAAAGAGTTAATAAAAAGTGTTCAGTAATTTTCTAAAATTACTATTTATCAATCATAACCGTCAAATCTATTCAAAATACAAACAAATAGTTGAAAGGGATTTTTTGACGTTAACGATTTGAGGAACCTTCTTTTCATATTTTAAATTAACTTTCAACTGTTACTTCAGAATAAAATATAAAGCGCATATATTAGTATAATTTTTTCATTTGTTTTAAAATGGCTATGTTTGAACAGTTAAAAATCTTGTACGATCAAGGACTGTACAGTAACGTGACAGCTTTGGTAAATTTTGCTAGTTTGTTCAAAAATGAAAATATGTGGAGGATTAAAACAATGGCATTATAAATAATTATTTTATAAATATATGAAATTAAAATACAAGTCTATCTTAAACATTTTTGTGTTTATAATTTTCATGAGTATTCCGGGGGATATTTCCCCCAGATCTTGATCTGTCTCGCCAACTACAATTGCCAAGATGCCAAATAGATTTTAAACTTGCAAATTTTTTTTAAAAAAAACATGTAGATGTTTGACCTGGGGTGGCTACGAGTTTTGAGTTGGTCCCTTTCTGTTATATTGTATTTTAGTTTATCAAAGGTCACTACCCAAAAACTGCCAAGATTTGGCTATTATTCTGCCACAGATCAGAATACGGAAATATCTGTTGCCACTTCCAGAAAAACGTCTTTATGTTTTTTTATTTTTAAAAAAAACGTGCAAGTTTAAAGTCTATTTCACCCCTCACCGATTGTAATTGGTGCTACAGATTACGATGCCGAAGTGTCCCCGGGGAAAATAGTAAATTTTTGCTTAAGAGTTGAAAAAGTGCTCTAATATTTTGATTTCACAAAATTTGTTAGTTTTCCTTTGTGAAGTACCACGAGGTAATTTAGTTGACTATGAGTTATATCCTTAGTTGATCTTTTGTAATTTTTTTAAGTGTTTAGCTGGCTACTGGCTTGCCAAAACTTTGCAGATATTTTGGTGCAGGTACCAATATGGAAATCTTCATTATATAAAAAGACTCCTGTTTAAAATGCTGAGAATTATTTAAGCTCAAGAGTTTGACTTATAAATGCATCAGGGTATGAGTATATCATAACACTTTAAAATGCAACCAACTATATATAGGAATGACCCTGATTTTATATCGATATTAATCTGTATGAACTTATAATGTTTTACTTATAAGATTTCATTGCAGATTTTTTGGTCTAATAATAGAAATCTTATTTGTCTTCAGATATCAAATATGAACTCTGATTTGATTGTAGCTTGTTTTTAAGTATAGAAATATAGACTACAAATTTCCCAGTTTAACTTCAAATAAATAAGAAAAAACTTTAAAAATTCCGCTTCAATTGTTTTTCTACTATACCCTTTATTTTGATTCAGGGCTTTAATTTACAGTAATAGCAGTGTTTTTTTTAAAATTATAATATTTTTTCAGGCAAGTATGCTGCTTACTGTTGCAGAAAGTAGTACAGACATGCTAACTTTTTCAACCAAGTATCAAACTTATGTTTATTATGGGGATTCTCTTCTTAACATGAAGGAATATAAAAAAGCAGAGGTAATATTTAATTTTATAATTTGGTGTTATTTGTTTCTATAATTCGGTGTCATTGTTTTCAATTTCAGGAAGTTTTGGTACGTAATCATTTAAAGGGTCTGTAAAAAAATTTCTAGTGTTGCTTAATTAAGTAAATATTAGTAGATACTTTATACTAAAAATGTAACGAATAATGATTTAACCGAATACTGAATATTCAGCTGAATAGCAACATTTAATTTTTTTAAAAATTAATAATAAATATTATTTTTTTCATATAAATAATTATTTAAATATAAAAATAATATATATATATATTTTTATATATAATAGTCATTATTGAAAATTAAACAAAACATTATTACATATTATTGGTATGAGATGAGGGGAAAAAAACTATAATAGTTATCCATTAGCAATATTCAAGATAAATAAAAAAAAACTAACTAAAAAGATAAATAAGCAAAAAACCTGAAATTGCCAAGTCTAAAAGAAGAATTAGAAAGAAAAAAAAGCATCTTTAAAACTTATCTCAATTTTCCAATTACTGTATTTTAAAGAAAAACTGAGAGAAAGAAAAGAATATGTAGAAACCTTTTATGGAATGAATAGAAAAATAACCTAAATAGAAGAAATAGAAACCCTTTTAATTGCTGGGTCATATTAAAAATGTCTATGAAAACATATGTTTTTTTTTTTTTTAAATAAAAGGCTTGAGAGAAACCAAAACAAAAGTCGCTCTTAATTTGAAAATGCAAAATTCATCTAACAATAAAATCAGTATTCTTTTCACTTTGTCGTATTTAGCAGAAAGTGACAGGAAAAGAATAATGTTCATTAGAAATGCTCTGTGAAAAATGCCGTGTCATAACAAAAATGCTGATATAAAGCGAAGTTAATGGAAAAAAAACAAAAGTTATTATTTGAAAAGAATGTTTTTTAAAAGATAACTTTACTAATGAAAATCACAGCTTTCTTTGTTACTGGTTATCTGTTTTACCATAAATATATAAGCTAAATGTTTAGAAATTTTAATTATTCCCTTTTTTCTGTCAAATTAAATAGAAATTGNGATGTCTAATGTACAAAACTGCTAATGTTTATTTTTAAAAATGTCTAATTTTTAGTATAATCTATACTATACACTAAATTTGGTTATAAATAAATTTCCTAATAATATCACTGCAGATTTTCAATAACACATGAAAATGAATATACATAATATTACGAAAGATGTGAGTTTTCAAAAGTACAAGATTTTGGTTACTATTCAAAATATAAGTGTTTCTTCAAAATTTAAAATTTATTTTTTCTAGAACATATTTAGAAACACTATCCTTTAAAAAATATATAAATTTTATGTATTAATTAAATTTCACATATGAATATAGGTTTTTGACATTTTCGACATTTTTGACAGTGAGGTTTTTGACGTGACGGTTTAAACTGTCAAAAACTGTCACATGTCAAAAACCTGCCAACCCTGATTGCCTTGGGTTATACCTAATTTCTATTATTTATAAATATTTTACATTCACCTAACATTTATGCTTGTTTTTATTTGATACTAGGTCATGTTTAAAAAAGCTCTTCAGCTAAAAAAATCTCTGGCTAAAACTAAAGGGAAGACCCAAGTTTTTCCGCAAGGAGTAAGTGTAAATGAAGCTATTTTATTTATTACTTTTTATCTCTAAACCCTTCTACATTTTTCTGAATTTGTGTTTCCTTATTCTTAATTTATTATTTTTCATAATGATATAATATGCAGTATTAGTAAGATAGTAAAATGCTAAAAAATTAAATGCAGTCGCTATAGCTCGGTGGTTTAGTCATTGTGAAGAACTGAGGTTCTATCCCTGGTGGCGTCTTCAAGCGCACCAAGCTTTAGATCAAGAGGTCCAGCTTGAGCCGCAGTGGCTCAGTTGATAAAACGTTCTGTTTCGAATCGTTTGTTCAGTGACTTAGTTTCAAATCCCTGGGATAGTTGACTGATACGAATTCTGCTCCCATATCTCACCAACCATAATCATGGTTGCCACCCCATAGTGGCAACCCCATAGGTTAGAATCTTCTTATCGTCGAGCTTACCATGTTTTTTTTTTTTTTTTTCTATCCACGTAACACAAATGTGGGTTAGTTCTGTCGAAAAAACCTCCATGAAGGCTAGTTTGTCCCGATCCTTGATCTAGGAACTGTCTTGTCTTTTGGTTTGAGTTCCAAATCATAAGGCTACGGAGTTGAATATTGATAGTTAGACACTCGAAGTTGAGTTTGTACTTCAATTCAGGTTATAAAATAAAATTGGTACATACCAGCTGGTGTGGGAAGTATAGACGGTCTTGTTTGACCGAATTGCCACAATAATGCCATTTGTCATTGACTTGTAGAGCCTTAGCTTCCATGCTTCTCCTGAATCATAACTGACTGTTGCAAGAAGGCTTTTTAATAAATGTAATATGTTTAATTAATAAACCTTTTAGACTTAATTATTTTAAGACTACTCTTTATAATAAAAAAATATTCCAAAAAAGAAAAATTCTATAGGATCAAAATTTCAATTTAAAGAAAAAAATTTCTAAAATTATACTAAAATATTCTAAAAGAAATTAAAGAACTGTATATTTTTATTAAAGTTTGGAATATTCTGAACTGCTTTCAGACCAGACATTTGAGTTCATTTACTGTCCAAAATTAAAGTGTCCAAAACCTGTTTTTCAAAAAATAGCTTTAAAAAAATTAATATCAACTGATATTTGATTGTAAGTAATAGTACAATGTAATTTAAATGATTCTATCATCTTTTTTAGAAAATCATTGTACATATTAAGTTATTTACTATGCTTTAACTTCCAAAATTAAATGTATTGAAAGCTGTTATAATGCTATAAATTAACACCTAATAGACTAATATAACTGTTAATTTCTGGTGTTAGTCTATTGTATTAAGATTAACTACTATTAAATTTTATTATTTTGCAATCTTCCATAATTGATAAATAATTACATTTTGTATAATTTTTGAAAAATTATCATCTATGTTAAAACTTTTAGGAGGTGACATCAGAGGTTGATGTGAAATATAAAGCTCACCTGTGTCTTGTTAATCAGAAACAGTTTTCTCAAGCCATAGGAATAGTATGATATTTTGTTTACTTGGTATATGGTATACATTAATTTTGTAAAGAATTATTCTATTAATTTTGTTAATTTCAATGTTTTTTACATAGTTAGAAAGCATATCAGCCAAACAGAGAACTCCATGTGTTAATATGGCATTAGCTAAACTACATCACCAAAATGGTACAGAACGATCTGCAATCACAAGTTATAAAGAGGTTTTAAAGTAATGTTTCTTTTTCTCTCTTTTAAATACAGTACGGAATTTTTTTTATCTAGAAATCAAAACAATGTTGAAACAATAAATGACCTACTCTATGGAATTCTTGGTATTCGTGATTTTGTGAGTGTATTACGTTCAGGAAATTTTCACATTCAATTTTATTGTAAAAGCTACTATTTACTTGCAAAATGTTTTGATTGTTTAATTCTGTAAAATCAAAAGATGCAATGGCATATTTTGCCTAATCTTTCTAAATAAGGAAATTTATCAAATAGTTTAATTAAATGCTTATCATAAACGTTATTTCAAGTCTGAAATAATTAGGAGTATGTACAATAATTGAAGCTCTGACAAGCCATCTAAAGTTGGGTTTTAGGGTTAGAAATAAGTTATTTTAATGTAATGTATCAGCTTATCCATAAAAAATTCAATACATTACTATTTTCCTGATTATTTTGAAAGATATTGTCTGGAATAAAAGATCAGTAATTCTATTCTATAGGTAAATCTAATTTTATATAAGTTCAAAATGTAGAGAAAACATGGAAAAAATTACAGAACAAGGGAGAAAAGGGGGGGGATCCGTAAAGAAAAGATATAATCTTTTCATTAGATCACACGATTATATCCACAAAAGAGTGTTTCTAATATTGCATCAATGTAACCAAAGCAAAATATATCAATACAATAGTGTGAGGAGTACTAAAAAAATTTTTACAACAAATAAAATATTATTGTATGAGCTAATATCTTTTGTTTTACGGAATTTTTTTTTTGCATTCCCCCTCCCCTTCTTTTTTTTTTTGTTCTGTAATTTTCTCCATGTTTTCTCTACATTTTGAACTTATTTTATAAGTTCTATTTACTTTCAGCTTATGCGCAGTAAATAAAACTTATTGTTTTTCTCAATTTTCTTTTTGTATTTATTTATTACGCTATATGGGCCATTCTCACAAAAACAATCATTTTCATGTCCCCAGTACATTTTATGTTTGTTGTACAACTTACGAAAAAAAAAATTTCAGGGAAAGTGTCCTTTAGAATGCAGGCTAACAAAAGAATAAAAATAAAATTATCAATTTTTATTTTTTATTTATTTTAGGTAATTGAAATATACCAATATGTCATTCCCTCACTTGTCCCCACTGTTGATTTAAAAAAAGAAAAAATTGTTTCTAAAATTAAAAAAAAAAAAATTACAAATTCGTGTTTTTTATTTCAGAATATTGAAATATAGAATTCAAAAAATCAATTTTAAATTAAATTTCTGATAAAAATATTAACACAGCACTATTTTAAACTTTGTCCCTAGTGTTTCGCATCATTCCCTCACAACAATGTTCTTATCACTTGCAATCCTCTTAGAATAAAAATATTTTAATTAAAACTTTAGCAGTTAACAACTGGCATCATAGAACAAAATTGCAGTATGTTTCCATCTTCAACTTAAAGAAGCTTTGCTGTGGAATAAATTTGAATGAATCAAACCAGGTACAATTTTTTGCATTTGTCATTCCCTCATGTCTTTTTTTAGAATAAAATAAAATACAACTTCATCGAGAAAGTGGATAATTATATGTTGCTTTCTTGTATGAATATAATTGTATGTGATTGATTTCAGAAATTAATTAGGCCTAACTGCTATTTTTTAATTTTATTGAATTCGCCATTCCCTCACTAGTGTATAAAGTGAGGGAATGACGCTGAAGTGAGGGAATGATTCAAGATGAGTATATTAT